GGCGTCTCTCTGCCTGCCCTGGCAGGGCGGGAGGGGGAGGTCCCTGCCGGTGGGGGGGGGGGGCACTGGAGGGCAGGAAGGAGAGCCCCCCCCCCTCTTACAACACCCCCCCCTCCGCCTGCCTGTGCCCAGAATGATCTACAAGTGTGCCATGTGTGACACGGTCTTCACCCACAAGCCGCTGCTCTCCTCCCACTTCGACCAGCACCTGGTCAACCAGAGGGTCAGCGTCTTCAAGTGCCCCGACTGCCCTCTGCTCTTCGCCCAGAAGAGGACCATGCTGGAGCACCTCAAGGTCGGGGGGCCAGCTGGGAAAGGGGGGGGGGGGGGGGGGGGCAAGGGCGGCCGGATGGGGCCTGACCACGACCTCCGTCTCCCTCCGGCCCTCAGAACAACCACCAGCAGCAGCAGCAGCAGCCCAAGGAGGAAGCGGTCAAGAAGCCGGCCCCCTCCGCCCCCCCCAAGCCGGCCCCAGCCGAGGAGGAGCCCCCGCCACCCGTCCCCAAGGTGGCCTCCTCCTCCTCTTCCTCCTCCTCCTCCTCCTCCTCGGAGGACGACCCCCCCAGCTCCCCCGAGCTGCGCAAGAGCAAACGGGGCCGGTTCCAGCGCAAGGCGGAGATGGGCCGGCGGTCGCGGAGCAACGGGTGGACCTGCGGCATCTGCCACTCCTGGTTCCCCGAGAGGGACGAGTACGTGGTGCACATGAAGAAGGTCCACGGGAAGGTATGGAGGGGGGCCGCATGTCAACCTCCGCCTCTGGCCGGAGCAAAGGGCCCTCCCACCCGGGGCCGGTCAGGGAGTCGTGCCAAGCGAGCCTGGGAGAGCCGGGGGGGGGGGGGGGGTTTTTTTGGGGGGGTGGGGGTGTCGTCATCTTCCTTCCTCACGCCAGCACTTCCCCCCTCCCCTCCCAGTGTGTGAAGAAGTTCCCCTGCCACCTGTGTGAGCGCTCCTTCTGCTCCGCCCCCAGCCTGCGCAGGCACATCCGGGTGAACCACGAGGGCATCAAGAGGGTCTACCCCTGCAGGTAGGTGCCCGCCCCCTGCCCACGTGAGGGGGGGGTCTCCTGGGCTGCCCCCCCCCCCCCAGCTTCCCTTCCGCTCAGTGTCCTCCTCCCTCCTGCCCCGCCCAGGTATTGCACGGAGGGGAAACGCACCTTCAGCAGCCGACTCATCCTGGAGAAGCACATCCAGGTGCGGCACGGGATCAAGGTGACCGACGCCAACCGGAGCGAGGAGGTGCTGGCCACCCGCCTGGGCTCCAGGAACTCCCAGGTAGGCGGGGGCTGCGTGGGGGGAGGGGCTCCCCCTCCCCTGACCGGATCCTCTGCAGGGATTCCCAGGCCTTAGCGGGGGGGGGGAGGGACAGGGGGAGGCCAGGGGGGGGGGGGGGCGGCCCCCCGGAAATTCCCCCCGGCCCCCCCCCCCGGGACAGCCTCGGCCACCCCTCCCCTCCCTCCCTCCGCCCTGCAGGCCTCCAGCCGGAAGCGCAAGCTCTCCTCGGACGAGGGCGACTCGTGCAGCGAAGAGCCGGACAGCACCACCCCGCCCTCCAAGACCTCCAAGGGCAGCCGGCGGTCCCCCTACCACTGCCGGAAGTGCGGCTACGTGGCCCCCACGGCGGCCGACTTCCAGGAGCACATCCCCCGCCACCGGACAGGCGAGAACGCCCACCAGTGCCACGAGTGTGGACTCTGCTTCACCTCCCAGGTGTCCCTCAGCCGCCACCGCTTCATCACCCACAAGAAGAAGCGGGGCGAGGGGGAGGCCAGGGGGCCCCGGGGCGGCCCCGAGGAAGGCTCCCCCCTGGCCCACGAGGGCAGCCTCTCCTGCACCGTCTGCGGCAAAGGCTTCGACACCCAGCTCAACCTCAAGACCCACTTCCGCACCCACGGCATGGCCTTCATCAAGGCCCGACAGACCGGGGGGGCCGAGAACTAGCCGGGCCCCGGAGCCACGTCAGATGAGGGGGGAACGTGCCCCCCGTGGCTCCTTCCGTGGCTCGAGAGACGGAGACGCCTCGTTTGTCGTCCCAGCCCAGCACGGCAATCGCAGCCACCCTTGGCTGGCGGCTGGGGGGGGTGGGGGGCCTCAGT